TTTTAAAAACGGATTATGTAAATTATAATACAAATTTCAGAAATTTGATAATTGATAATTCAAATTCGAAGATGGGGAATATCGGCCCACTCCTTCTGAAACCAGGGTCTAGGTCTAAATGCGGCTATAGTTCATTATCGAACCTTACGTTCTAATTTTTGATCTCGCTATCTTCCGCAGGTGAACTGATTACAATAGAGTCTTAGAACCAAACTCAAAACGCGGAACAAATCAGATACCTATTTTAATATAAAAAAGGGGGTTATATGGGGACTACCCCAAAAAGGGGGCGAATATTAATAATATTTGGTAGAGAGATTTGGTACCATATATGACTACAAAACACCAAATTGCAGCAAATTCGGTTGAAAAACGCGCTCAGAACCCCAAAATACTAAAAATTGGGAGGTACCGTTATATGGGGGCTAACAGAAAAAGTGGACCTATATTTATAATATTTTGTGGAGACATTTAGGACCCAATACGAACCCAATGTAGCAAATTTCAGCGAATTCGGCTGAAAATCGCGCTCAAGAATCCCAAAATACCGAAAATTGGGGGGTACCCTTATATGGGGGCTATCCGAAAAAATGGACCTATATACATAAATTTTTGTAGAGAGATTGGTACCTATTAAGAACTCAAAATAATAAATTACAGCCAATTCGGTGGAAAAATACGACCAAAGCCCCCAAAATACTGAATATTAGGAGGTACCGTTATATGGGGGCTACCAGAAAATATACCGAAATTTGGCGGGTATCCTTATATGGGAGCTATGCCTAAACGTGGACCGATATATCCCATCTTCGAACTTGACCTGCCTGCAGACAAAAGACAACCCTATGCACCCTATCACAATTCCTTCAGAAGAAAGCGTGATTACAACAGACGGACGGACAGACGGACGGACGGAGAGACGGACATGGCTAGATCGTCTTAGAATTTTACCCTGATCATCTTTTGTATTAAAACTCAATATGAAATATATTTCTTCATTATTTGATCGAAAATTGTTAATTTTAATTTTCAAAAATATATTTCCCTAAAATGTTTGTGTCCCCTAGAAAATCCCCCTTTAAAGTGGCAACTCTGTTTAGACAGCTGGCTGCTTAAGTGCATGACGCCTGCTCATTGTTATGCTTAGGGCAGAGGTGCTCAAAAAATTCTCAGCCGCTGTGGCTTAGTGTCTAATTTTCACATATCGCTTCCTGCTACCTGCTCTATCAGCGTCATAAAATTATGTCCACTTCAGAAAACACACACTATTTGAGGTTATGTTTGTCACAGAACCTATTTGGTTTACTTCAACTGAAATTTTTAATTTATGACTTAATATTTAGTTGTGTGATAACAGAAAAAAACAGCAGGGATTAACACTGTAATAAACATCGGGGGTATCCTTATTTGTTCACTCTGTCGATATAGGTAAATAGGTAAATAGTCGCCTGGAGAGGGTTCTCAGCGGTGTGAAAATATTGGATTTATTAGATGAAGCCATAAAATTATTTGTGTAAGATAACAACCGACTACTACCTGCGTTCGGTAATCCTACTCCGATCTATATTTAAATTCAAATTATGGTTTATAAGGATCTCAAAGATAAGGCGCTAGATTAAATAACGAATGGAAATATATTAGAGGGAATCATAATTTTTACATGGGAATTTCGGTTCGAAAATAATCCTTCTTGGATCTGATAGTTGGGAGAAATATGCATATCTATGTTTAAAATCCAATTATGGTTAATATGGTAAAAAGTGGCCGATAGAAAGATTTGATTTGAACCTAACATTAGATTTTTATTAGAGGGACACTCGTGAAGAAATGGCGCCCAATTAAATAAAGTCTTAAAATTTTGGGAAATAATTAAGTCATATAGTGCATAACAATAGATCATCTGGGAAATCTAAAAAAAATCAGAGTAACGAATATAATGGTTTTAGTATTACAATATTTAGCAAAAGTGGCGCCCCATTAAAAACAACAATTTTTTGGGTTTCCAAAATAACAGGGAAAATCCCCTCTCGACCTCTCTCTCTCTCTTCGTCGCGATAATTATTTTTATGATAGTTGGTTGACAAAAGCAGGAGAAAATCGTTAGATCATATTTTAATGAGGTCAATTGTGGAGAAATAAATGGCGCCCAATTAGAACAAAGTATTTTTTGTTTTCCAATATATCAGGGAAAAAATTCCCCTCCCTGCCTCTCTCTACGTCACGGTAATTACTTTTATTGTAATTGGTTGACAAAATTAAGGAAAATCTCAAGATTAGATTTCTTATGAGGACCCATGTAGAGAAGAAATGGCGCCCAATTAATTGAAGTGTTAAAATCATTGGAATATAATAAGGTTGTAGAGTGCAAAATGATAGATCATCAGGGAAATCTAATAGAAACCAGTAAGGAAAGTTCAAAAGTCAGACGGGGCCGATTATATGATACCCTTCACCACTTTGGGTACATACAAGAGATGCTCATATATACAATATCTATGTCATATATTGGATCATCAAAACTTCGTATATAAACTTAGTGTATAATCTGGGCCTAATTCAGTACTCTCTGGGAGCTATATCTAAATCCGAACCGATTCAAACAAAACTTCGCATACATCCATCTGGGCCTAATTCAATACGCTGTGTAAAATTTTTCGGGCCAATATTGGAAGTTTGGTGCACCATTTACATAAAATCGGACGAAACTATATATGGGAGCTATATCTAAATCTGAACCGATACCAACAAAATTTCGCATACATCAATTTGGGCCTAATTCAGTACGCTATGCAAAATTTTGTATCAATCGGACCAATATTGATAGTATGGTGCTCCATTTAGGTAAAATCGGACGAAGCTATATATGGGAGCTATATCTGAATCTCAACAGATTTCAACAAAACTTGGCATACATCCATCTGGGCCTAATTCAGTACTCTGTGCAAAATTTTGCCTCAATCGGGCCAATATTGGAAGTTTTGTACACTATTTAGGTAAAATCGGAAGAAACTATATATCGGAGCTATATCTAAATCTTAACCGACTTTCCCCAATTTCAATAGGGTTCGTCCTTGGGCCAAATAAGTGACATGTGCCAAATTTCATCCAAATCGGATCGTAAATGCGACCTGTACTTTGTTCACAAAAATACATGGACGGACAGACAGACGGACATGCATAAATCGACTCAGAAAGTGATTCTATGCATATTCTCAAAAGGAACCATGTGTCTATCTCGATTCCTTTCGCCTGTTACAAACATATGCACAAAGACATAATACCCTGTACCACAGTATGGTGAAGGGTATAAAAGTAGCAAAAGTGGCGCCCAATTAAAATAAAAAAATGTTGGTTTTCCAAAATATAAAGGGCACGAAAAACGTAAAATATCTCAGCAATTCCAAAAATTTGTATCCAGAGGTAAACATATGTATATGAAAATGGCGCCCAACTAGCGGCCACAATTAAGGGCGTGTTAAAATATTTGGAAGTAATAATTTTTAGAGGTTTATAATTTGAATTTTAGCCTAATCTAGCCAAAATTGCAAAGCTATTTCAGACAGATGACCCTAAAAAAACAAGATTTTTTTTTTGAAAACTAATTAAGAAAGCTCATCAAAAAAAAAAAAAAAAAAAAAAAAATTATTATTTTTTAAACATAATATTTTTTAAAAAACTCTAGTAATTCCTTTTTAAAAACTCCAAGTCTATAAATAGACTGTAATAATTTTTTTAAAACATCCGCGACTGAAAATAGACCCTAAATAATATTAAACAAAACACAGGCCTATAGATAGTCTCTAAAAATTATTTTGAAAAATAATCCACCCCTATAAATATACTCTAATATTTTTTTTTAAATCCAGGCCTGTATATAAATGGTAAAAATTATTTTGAAAAAAGTCCAAGGCCTATTAATGGTCCCTAAAAATAATCTCTAAAAATTCAAAAAAGACTGGTATGCCCCATATGTCTTGTTTTATTTAAAGGAGAGACCCATAATTAGAACCTTAATAAAATTCTAAAACTAAAACTGGTATGCCGGGATGTCTTCTGGTTGTTATCTTTTCCCACTAAGATAAGACACCAGCCAATGCAGATTTCAGTATCATAACTGTTTTTATTTATTTTTCAAATGACATAAAATGATTGTTGTTGTTGTAGATTTCATTTGTTGTTGTTATTCCATGCAGCAGCAAAGTTCATTTGATTTTCTAAGAACGAAAATCGAGCGAGAAGAAAGAAAAAAAACCTTTTTGCTACAAAGTTCTGCCTTTTTTTGTTTATCAAATTGTCAACAAAGGAAGAAAGCAAGCAAGAATAACAACAGCATTAAGAGGAAGAAGAAGCAGTAGAAAAAAAATAAATAAATATAAAATAGTTACTATGATGCTCTCTTATCTGAAGTGGCAAGAAATGCTGGAAACTGCTGCCGTTTTTTTCAATTTTTTTTTGATTTGTAGTTTAGCTCGTGTGTGTGTGTTTGGGAACTTATACACTTGCTGAAAGTTTTGTATTAATTTCTCCTTTTTTTAAACAAACTTTTGAACTCTTAAATGAAAGAAAGAAAAAATTTTGCTTGTCTTCAGGAAGAAAACAAAGTGGACAATTGCCAAGCAGCCTTTAAACGTGGTAGGAATCCTTTTGGGGGGAAAACCAGAAAAAAAGAAATGTTGCAAAACTATGGGTTTGTTGGGTTTTCAACAAACAAACCAGGCAACCAAGCCAGCCACCATACTTGGTGGAAAGTTTTAAAGTTTTGTAAACTCGGAAAGAAAACTTCTAATTGAGATAAAGGGGAAAAATTAAAAAAAAAAAAAAATAAAAACTATTTAAAAAATAAAATAGATATAAAATAAATGAGAGAGCATGATATCCTTTTACATTATCCTTTTTCCCTTCTATATGTTTTTTTTGTTTTTTTTTCTTGTATTCAAATCCTTATAATAAAAAAAATATATATAAAAGAAAGCAAAGCAAAAAAAAAAAAAAAAACTCACCTCAAGATAAACATCGCTATCCGGATTGAAGGTGTCATTAACCCGCTGAAATGTATAGTTCACATGCGGTATTGAGTGTAGAATTCTAACAAGTATGCTGGGCTGCTCCATGATGGTGAGGATGCTGCTGCTTCTGCTGCTACTATGGCTACTACTATGATGCAGATGCTGCTGCCGATGTGGACAAGGTGTATAATGTTAGAATGTGAGGGTGGCAAGGGAGGTGTATGAAAAAAACAAAAATCCACCACACACGCACTAATGCTGTGCTCTCACTTTTGTGTGTGAGTGTGTCTGTTTTCCTGCTAAAACTCTTTGGAGGCAGTTTCGGATTATTTTTCTTATTTCTCCTTTTTTCGTTCTTTCCTTTGGAGCTTGCAGTGTTGATGTTGTTGTTGTTGTACAATAATTTTTAAATATCTATGTATAACAACAAATGAATTTTGATTTTTTGACGTCACACAAACACACACATATGTATGTGTATGTGTGTGGTTCTTTTTGGCTCTCTTTCTCTAACTACCAGCCTGATGACATCCAGCCAGCCTGTCAATCACTGGCGAGATTTCTGTTTTTTAGGAGGATGTTGTCCTGCTGTCACCGCCAACACATCTGCTTGGCAAAGTTGATAATTTTTCTAATATTGTTGTTTTTGTTTTTCGTTGATTTTTCACAGGATATTCGTTTGAATAATTTTTATTATTATTTGTTTTAGGGTAAATTTTCTTTCACTTTTCTTTTTTTAAACATTATTTCGTTTTCATTTTTTTGTTGCGTTTCGAAATTCTTTAAAATTTTTATTTTTTTCGTTTCGTTTTTTGTTTTTGTATTTTTTTATTTTTTATGTAACAATAATCCACCCAAGAATGTTGTAGCAAGAAGAAGCAGGATTCACAGCAGCAGTTATCATTAGATCAGGGCGCAATCCAGTGTGTGTGTCCTCTGTAATGAAATGGAAACGAGAACATTGCTAACATGTGCCAAAAAAGCAACAACAACCACAAAAACGGCAAACGTAGAGTAAACTAGAGTACGTTGTAGTTACGTACGTTACGTTTTAAGTAACAAACGTAACAGCAACAACAATCAGTAGGCCCACAAAAGTGGAGAAGTGGAGCAGGTGGTGGTGGTAATAGTGGGGGCGTCCTGCTGCCAACTAAAATAATTGTTACACACACACACAACAATGCCACTGGCTGGCTGGTTGACTCCCCGTGCTCCAAAATGGTCCTTCGTTGGTGTTATTTTATGGTGGTGGTGGTGTTACGTTTTGTTGTTGTTCCACTCTGGGCTGCTGTGCTAGATTTTCACTTTCGTTTTCACACCCAAAAATATGTACTCGTACAACAAAAACAACAACGACAAATGAAAACAGTAGCAATAACAGCCAGAATAACAGCAACATAAACGAGGCAACAACAACCATAGGCTTACACACCAGTCAAAAAAATTTAACAAGCGAACACTGAAGTGGAGCTATCCCCCTTTTTTTAACTTTTCTTTTTTTTTGCTACAAAATTTACACTTATCACGCACTATTTGTATATTATTCCATTTACTTTTTTAGCTTTACACACACACACACTTACAGCTTTATGATTTGCAATCAATCATTCTTCAAAATAATTTTTTTAATTAATAATTTTTTATTCTATGTTTTTCACTTCGATTTTTTCAATTTTAAACACTAAGAAATTTCCTCTTTTATTTGATTTATTTTCTTCTTATTTTAAATTTTATTTTCTTTCTCTGTGATTAAGGTTACACTTTTCAAAATTCTATTTTGCTTTCATTTCTATTGAATTTTTTCTACAAAATTATTCCTGGCCGAGCAGGGTTTTCGAAAACGTTGTGCTTAGCTTCGCGTATCCGTGCGTTTTGCTTACATTTCTCACAGACAAGATACTGCAGACCCGTTAACAGGCACATCAACGAGGCACCACACACTGGCGCTCTCTCACACACACACACTCTCTCTCCCTCTCTCTGTCTTTGTTTCAATCACACAGAGAGCCTGCTAACAGGGCGTTTATGCACAGCATAACAAGGAACTCTCTCTGTATCTCTCTCTTCACCACACTTGCCTTTTCTTGTGCCACTCTGTCACTCAGAGCCAACTCTCACCACTCGGCTCTCATTGCTTCACACAAACCACACACTCTCTTTGCAGGATAATTCTTGTAATTCATGTTATATGTGATATGTGCGTGTGTAAGTATTTTTTTGTTGTTTTGCGGCGAATTGATAGTATTTTTGGGTTGCCAAATATATTTTGGTATCTGAAAAACAAAAGAAAACCCACATTAAAATTTATGATAAACATATTTTTACACTTTAATTGTTGTTGTTGTTAGTTTTATTTAGAAGACTAGGAAAATTAATTATATTGGGAATTTCTTCTTTTTACAGCTGATTAAATAATAAAAATCACCCTCTTTGCCGTCTCTCTTTTCGTCACGGTAATTATTTTTATGTTCGTTGGTTGACAAAAGCCGGGGGAAAGACCTCAAGATTAGATTTTTATGAGGGCACTTGTGGGAAAAATATTTGGCGCCCAATTAAATGAAGTGTTAAAATCTTTGGAAAATAATTAAGTTATTGAGTACCAAATGATAGATCAGAGGAAATGTAATAAAATAACTAATAAAAAAGGTCTTAGTATTTCAAATTTAGCAAAAGTGGCGCCCAATTAAAAGCAAAGAATTTTGGTTTTGCAAAAAATTAGAGGAGGAGAAAATAAAAAAATAATATAATAAATCAAGGAAATCGAATGAATAAAGGTAAAAATATATAGGTTTTAGTATTTCAAATTTAGCAAATGCGGCGCCCTATTAAAAGCAAATAATTTTTGCTTTCCAAAATATCAGGGCACATCATTCTAGGTCTAGAATGATGTGTTCAGTAGGCTATACCAAATTTCGTGCAAATCGAAAGATATATAGGGCCTTTGGTGCACCATTTACATTAAATCGGTCGAATATATATATATATATATACATGGGATCTATATCTAAATCCGAATCGATTTCTCCCAATTTCAATAGGGTTCGTCCTTGGACCAAATAAGTGACCTATGGCAAAATTCATCCAAATCGGATCATAAATACGACCTGTACTTTGATCACAAAAATACATGGACGGACAGACGGACATGCATATATCGACTCAGAAAGTGATTCTATGCATATTCTCAAAAGGAACCATGTGTCTATCTCGTTTCCTTTTGTCTGTTACATGCACAAAGACATAATACCCTGTACCACAGTGTGGTGAAGGGTATAATTAAGAAAATGGAGCCCAACTAGAACACAACATTGAGGATTTTTTAAAAATAATTTCCGAGGACCTACCATAAGCGTGGAGTTATTTCAAAAATATGTTCAAGGCCTAGCATAGACGTGGATTTATTTCAAAACTATTTTCAACGGTCAAACATAGACGTGGATTTTTTAGCTTAATTCTAGTTATGTAAAATTGATCAGATTTTTCTGAAAAATTTTCCAGATTATGGGGATATCTTTTTTTCTTGGGGGACGAACGGGTACTCGGGTACTCGGTTATATCCGGTTCTAGAGATCCGGTTAATATAAAATGGTGTCATTTTAAAGGTTATAAAAATACCTTTCCATTGAGTGGAAAGGTATTTTTGCGATACAGCCCGTTTTTTGACTGGGTTTTGGTTCCCGATTTTTTTGAAATACTTCAAAAGGTCGAACTTTGTGCCATTTTAGTCCTGACTGATAGACCATAATTTGTCCATTCCAAAATGGTGCGATATGTGGCTGTATCTGTTGTGGATCAAAAGATATGGGCCTTAGAACCCTACAAAAACAAGGAAATTCTGTCGCATAGCCGGTGTTGGTATCTGTCCATAGGAGAAAGTCTTAAAACCCCGGCCAAAGGCCGGTCACCCAAAAAAACTATTCTAATTTAACAAGAGATTCTGTCGCGTAGCCGATGTTGGTATCTGCCTATAGGAGAAAGTCTTAAATTCTATATTCTATTTAAAATGAGTTTCTGTCGCGTAGCCGGTGTATGTATCTGTTCATAGGTAAAAGTCTTAAAATGCCGGCCGAAAACGGCCACAAAAAAAAAAAAAAAAAAAAAAAACATGCTATTTAAAAGGATCAAAAAAGACTTTATCTTCAAAACGGTAGATTTAAACAATCCACGCCTATAAACCTTGAAATTTATTATTATTTTTTGTCTTTCAAAAATATTATTTTCTTTCAGACTTTATGTCTGGATATTTTTATATATCTTAATAATCCGGACGGGTACAAGGTAAACATTTGAAACCAATCTTCTTCAGTAAGTTTCAAATTTTTACCTTGTACTCTCCTTAAATAGATTTATTATCGTTATTATATTACCCCCAGAAAAAACTGGAATTTCTATTGCGCTTCTCATTAGTCTACGATAATTTGAATAATATAAGTTAATATAAAACAGCTTTCTCCCGTTTTTCCAGTAAATGATTTAAGTGGCGCCCAAATGTTTTGAGGTACATATATGTTTTGAATATTTTGTATTTTTTTAGTTCAATTAATTAAAAGATCAAAAGTTAATGGAAATGGTTTCCCCCCAAACAACCTCCCCACCTCCCGTTTTATTTCCAAAACGTTATTTAATTTCGTTACTAATTTTCTAAATTAAAACTTATGTTTAGCCTTGCATATTTTATAGACACATTTTGTCTGGCCACTGTCAATAGAGTGAGAGAAGGTGAACAAAAAAACAAACATGATTGCATTCCAACAATTTTTTTTATTTTATTTCTAGCTGTGACAAATCTACACAAATAAAAATCTGCTGCTGAGTTTTTTATGGCTACAACGATGAAGAAGAAGAAAAAAATAAATAATAAACTAAAACACAATTTCAAAACTAGTTTTTTTCTATTCGAAAAAAGAAAAACAAACATTTCAAGATATCGAAATCCAAATAAACAATATCACAGCCAAAGTCGAACTGGATTAGCCAATGTAAACTGCAATTCTGTTAAAGAAAATGAATATTAAAGAAAACGATGATGATGAAGCTTTGCTTTTCACCCCAATGGAAATATGAAACCAAATCAAGAGCAGAAAAAAATAAACGTCAACGCCAACAATCTGATGACCGTAGCAAATCACAATCGAA